GGTCTGAAATGCCGCTTCTTGTCTGAAGCAATAGAAATGCAACAGGTTAAATAGTATATTCTTGATAAAGAGATATACTGTCACCATTGAAATTAGTTGAAACAGAAAGATCAAAATCGAACATATTGCCGCAGATTGTTCGGAACAGGATATCTTAGTGATGTGGAATGTCGCTTCTTGTCCGAACAATTGAAATGCAGTGGTTAAATCATAAGATTATTGATAAAGAAATATACTGTCACGATTGAAATTATTTAAAACAGAAGGGTAAAGATCGAACATATTGCCTCTGATTGTCACGAGCCTCTAAACAGGATAGACTAGTGATCATATGACACAGCAAAATCATCTGCATATGATATATTTCCGATTCAATCAACTTCCCCATGTTTCTCTTAAAAATAACAACAACAACAACTTTTTGTGGCTGGAAATGGGGAGGCGGTTGACAAGGTGCTCAATCAATATTTTAGCCCCGTAGACCCCTAAAAGCCTAGGGGATGCATAGAATAGATGAAGAGAAGGGAGTTTGCCTTCTTTCAGGCCACCGTGAACATTCTTGCGTGAAGATGAGCAAGTTAGGCTTCCTCTCAGACTGGAGGGAGTGGGCCTCCGCTAAACTTACTCTAGGCGGTAGAGATTGGAGGGAGTTTGGCCTCTGAAAATCGAGTCTATGGGGGCAAAAGTCTGACGAGAAGAGCACTTAATCCTCATTCCCATGATTCTCGTTATGTTAGCTTGGAGAATTTGGTATCGGATCAATTAGTAATCCCATAATCAATATTTTTCTTTATTCTCATAACTGGTCTGTATGATATTGTATAGAAATAGTAAGGAGAAGTTGTCTTAGTCACTCACTTGGTCATCGACTCGTGTGTGGTACGAGAGAACTCCAGTACAAAGAAGTTATCGGTGTAATATTTACAATAAGCAGATGTTTGTGCTCTTACACCTATAATAATGTGCATGGAAAAATATCACTCTTCTAACCAGCTGAAAACGACTTCATTTATCGTGTGACACGAGTGCAAAGTTGTAACACGAGTGCATATTACAGAGAGCGCGCACGCTGTCAAAATTTCATCTCTCTTGACTTTCTGTGGCGCATTTTTCCTGTGAATTTCTCAAAGACTACAAAAACACGCGCTAGTATACAGCGTCACAACCGCTATTACAAACTCGTCATTAGCATCATCTATCGATCACGCACGTCAAATCTTAACTAGACTAGGCGAAGGGGAGAAGGTCACGTTGAAAAGGCCAAAAATAAATGAAGTGTTACCAGCTCTCTGATTTTTGATCTGCTACTCTGAAACTCCACGAGGCTTTTGCATCGAAGGATCCGAGGGCGGAAATATTGGAAAATTTTGTCGCAACTATCATGGTATGCCATGGTTTCCGAAACAGAAATAAAATACGGGAGTTAGAGAGCAAGTGAACTATAAAGAATACGCGAGGAGCAAGGTTTATCGACCACACTTCCGCCCAGCTCTTTACGTCTAAACAGTTTTTTTTCTTATCCTCATCAATTTGATAATCTATAAAAACACGATTGAATGGTAGTCTTGGTGCTAGTCTTTATTCTTGTGAGAAACCATGTTACTGAAACTGTACCATATATGCTTTAAGCTCGCTACACTTTACATGCAAATTTGCTTACTTTCGAGTTCACTTTTTGTCGACGACTTTTGCAAGGCAGTATCTCCATAGAAAATTGAAGTACCAGTATATACTTTCTAACTGCTTTCAATAATGTTTCTTATCAGTTCTCCTTCGCACTTCCGCTCCGGGTTATCACAGGGTCTAGTCGGTTTGAGTATAAATTACGGCGGCAGCTATTACCGGCTGCACGATTTTTTACGAGGGGATGGTTTCATTTACTTATAACTCTGTAGCAATTTAATTTAATTCTTTTACCATAGCCCGACAGCTTTAACAGTATAGTCGTATAAAGTACTACGTACTCAATAAACAGGAATCTTGCAGGTGAACTGCATGTTTTTTTAGTCCACCAAATGTCTTCTGACTTTTCATAACTTATCAATGAACGTAGCGAGTTGTATTACGTAGCTTCGTCTTACCCTTCGTTCTAAACGCTCTTTCACCAAAGTGGATTCGCACTTCAATGACTTATTCAGCTTACTGAATTGCTCGAAAATTTTACAAATCCACTCCTTCCATTTTGTTGTTTCTTATCACCGGAAATTTTTCCAGTTGAAAGACCATTAAATTCTACCTTTTTTTGTACACAATGGATGTTGTTGTCATGCTGAAACTACGTCACTCCAGTGTTTTGTTTAATAAAATCAGAGGTATTTTATTAAGGCATTATATTCATGTTCCATGGATCAAGTCAAAAATACAACGATTGATACCATTTTTTATCTTTATAAATTCACTTTATTTACTTTCTTAAGTAAAGGGTGAAAATATTGGATTTGAAGGCACCGAGACTTGATGGAATCATCCCCAGTTTAGGTGTGACCTGTAATAAATAAGAAAAATAATCTAACCTAAAATCGGAAAATAATCAATGTTTTCTTCATTGGACATTTCTGGAATTATAGAAGGGATGGTTGAACATCAAGATTATTATATTTGACTTGGTAAGGGAAAATAATTTTATTTGATTTGGTGTCGAAATTTTGTTTGTATCCGCAAACTTGGGGACGCGTTTCTCTAAGTGATATACTGTTCAAAAGCAACGGTACAGAGAAATTAACCATTCTTATAGTTAATCATCTTATTGTTTGATTTGACAAAAATGTAAAAATAGTAAAAGAGGAACAAAGTATGCACATGATTCTTTTTGCAAGAGATAATGATGATGAAGAGTGAATCGTTTAAGATACTATTGAGAATAGTACGAGACTTTATAAGGATTGTGTAAGGGGGACGCAAGTGAAATGTTTTCGCCGAGTCAGTAACAGAAAATATACAGCAGTGGAACCATTATTCTGAAAAGTTGTTTGGTTCCCTTACCTGATTTGCAGCCATAGAGTTCAACCCTCATGGATATATGACCGTGCCATGCTCTTGGGCGAAAGCGGATGTACCGTGCTTCGATTGGCGTATGCAATGGATGACTAACAACAGTATCGCGGTTGGAGTTTCCAGTAAATACCTAAAACGCAGGAAAAGCCCTTGTAATAGTAAAAACTGATGTTTTAAAATAAAAATATGATCTGTTTGGTATTGCTAGATGTAACGGTAATCTGATAGTTCGCCAAGGGTGTGCTTGTAGAATATAGAGCTTGTATTGTATTTCTTTCCGTTTAATGGACCAGGCCTCACCTTGATTTGTGATCGTCCTTGCTCCCTGTAGTACTCGAAATGTGCATCGTTATTGCTGTATTGCAGCATGTATTTTGTAACCCACTGGTTGATTGCATTTCTGCCTTGTGTCGCAACACGTGTCACTATGTTGTCTTCACAACCCAAGTCAATCTGTAGCCACTGGTTAATATTATTTGCTCTAGCCGACCAGGCCCCTCGCTTACGTCCAGCTGCTTGGAAGAAGAGTCTTCCCTGTATGGCAGCATGATTTGAATCCCACTGAGATGAGGAGGTGATTTGCCAGTTAGAGATTCCACGATCTTCCATGCCGAGAGCGTGATTGCATACTGAAGATTTTAAAAATTCATCATTAAAATACACTCCTAGTTATCTAAATGCGCCAAAGTATTTGTATAGAATAATGATTTCAGTTGAAGATTTTTAGTAAAGAAAGGACATCTCTCAATCTAGTCATATTTTGCGTTGTGAATAACAAGCCTGCAACCAAAATTTCACTCGTGGGTCTTGTTTTGAATTTAAAGAGAGCACTTCATTTATTTCCCTGAAGATTAAATAGTATTATCCCTTGAAAACTTGCTTAATATAGATATCTATCTTGAATTATTTTTCAAGCGTGATTACCTTCACACCCATAGATTTCCATTCTCATAGATATATGGCGATGCCAAGCAACAGGCCGAAAACGGATGTAACGTGCCGTGATTGATGGATTTAACTTATGATAAACAACAGTGTCGCGGTCAGTGTTTCCATTTAATTCCTGCAAAGGTAATATTATTATGCAATTTTAAAAGTATTCACTCATTTTTTGAACAATGAGGAATATCAGAACATGGAGAATTTTTTTTTACGAGTTTTTGCATAACCATAACTTTTGAGTTGAGTAAATTAGCGATATGACTAAAACCAAGAGATCCTAATGATCCTTTAGTGAAACATATTGCTGTGAAGAGAAAGGAAGTTTCAATTTCGGAAAAGGTAGAAAACTTGAAATAATTTTCGTTGGGAAAAGGAATGTCCCATCGGCATCGAGTGCAAATCTATCGAAAACAGGGGTAAGAAATCAATTAGTTTTTTTTTTATTTTTGATAACCGAGACAATAGATGCTTTATTACACCCATTTTGAAATCACATGGTGGTCCCTGTAATCTGATTGGCTCTAATTGGTGCGATTTATT